GCTGAGGTCCTGTTTGTGCGTACTTTAATTTAAGCAATAATACTTTTGCAATCCGTACATCCAATACAGAGATTTTTCACTGAATGGAAATGTGGGTAAAACAGGAGGCTTTAGCATCACCTTAAGAAAAATATATTTAAGAGTCAGTCTTTTATTTATAAAAAAAAAATATATTTCCTGTCTTTGTATGCATATATATAATATTTTTTATAGTAACCAAAACTTTTAGTAATAGGCAAAATAACATCTTAATTCTAAATTTTATTCGTAAAATTAATAAAATTAATAAAAATTAAAAATATAATTAACAAAAAGATAAATCTTTACAAAATGAAAGTGAGTAAGAAATGATATCACAGATGTTGCATACCATGTAAATCCGTACATATAAAGTATAATATATAAAGAGTATTACATTTTAAAAAGGGAAGTTAAGTGTGACTACTTTACATTTAGTAAAGTGTATTACTTTATGTTAAAAAAAAACTGTTTAAGATAACTTCTCCAATATTTTTAACAAGAGATCATTTTGTGTTTTTATTTGTTCTTTTTGTAAAGCCAACATTTCGTCATGACGTTTTCGTTATGCATCTTCTCTGGCATTAGCATCTTTGCGAAAATTTTCTGTCCATGCATCAATCTGCTTTGAGTTTTGGCTCTTTTTTTGTGGTGGTTTTTCTTCTGAATCTGAGAAAATTTCACATTCAGAAGTATTTGTCAGCTTTCGATTAGAAGCAAGTGCTGGAGGATTGATGGAGTATGATTTCATGACTATAAATTTCGTAAATTCCTGTAGCGGTTTATTAAGCAAAGTGAAATATTCTGCCTGATTTATCATAATTGATGAATGCTGATGCAACTCTTTAATGAATGCAGCAGATTGCACCTGATTCTTTATATTTTTAAAAGAAGAATGCTGCAGATTATATATTTTGCGAACATTCGAGGAATCCACAAGTTTAAAAGTTTTTCCTGCTGTAAAAAGTAAAAATAGGATTCAGAAATAAAAAATACTACAATATATTCTTCATCATTGAACAAAACTATGCATAAAAGTATAATATACACTTACAAGTCTTTTCAACCAGTAACAAATGTTTGTCAGCTTGCACTGGTAATCGCTTTTCATCGCAAATAATAGTATAATAAACAACATTATATGATTCAGTTATGTAACTCATTCACAGAAGGATGTGCAACGATTTATATCGAGGTTATATGCATTCCTAACCTTAATTACATCAGGAACTTTGATAAATTTATTTCCTGTATACATAATTCGATAAAAGATAATATTAAATAATAGCACAAAATTTAATTATCATAGCATACATGATATATGTAAATAAATAAATAAATGTGACTATAAATAAATGTGATACTTATCTATCTTGTTGTATAAAAATATATATCCTTTGCCTGCTTTAACAGGATAGTTATTATTAGCATTTATTATGGGTACGTAGGTCTCTATGTTAAATTGAAAAACAAGTGGAATATTCTCCATTTTATTATAAATCAAAATCTGATTCCTCGTTTAACTTGTGTAACGTAATGTCCCGCTCATTCTTCTTCTTCTTTGTTAAAAGGCCTGTTCTACAATACGTCGCGTGTCGGATGTCGGGCGCATGCTATTCTTCTCTTCTTGAAGTATATGGCCCCGAGCGCGTGCAGCGTCGATACGGCGAGAGGGAGATTTGATTCGAATAACTAGTGATGCGCGAGGCCGAGCCCGATCA